TACACACAATAGTAAGAGGAGAAGATGAAGCAGCTATGGTGGAATCCGTTGGTCTTGCCTTAGTCAAGTTGCCCGATGTGCTCAATCGCCTGAAACCTGACATAATGATAGTCCACGGAGATCGGTTTGATGCTTTAGCACTAGCTACCTCTGCTGCCTTAATGAACATTCGAATCCTTCACATTGAAGGTGGAGAAGTCAGCGGGACCATAGATGACTCCATCAGGCATGCCATTACCAAGCTGGCTCATTACCATGTGTGTTGCACAAGAAGTGCAGAACAGCATTTGATCTCTATGTGTGAAGACCACGATCGCATCCTTCTAGCAGGATGCCCTTCGTATGATAAGCTGCTGTCCGCCAAAAATAAGGATTATATGAGCATTATTCGGATGTGGTTAGGTAAATGAGTTGTGTATGTATATGTAAGACTACAATTTCATGAAGCAGAGTACAACCCATCAAATTCATATTGCCCCATAATCTTATTGTATAATCCCAGGTACATAGCAAAAAGAGGATTATCTGGCCTCTGTTGGGGTTTGCCTTTATAGTTGGTAGTTACAATTTGATGTACCAAAGATGTTTGTCTTTGGATTATATAGTAGAATTTATAATCTGTAAATTCCACAGCTGCACCATGGAACAGAAGTCTAGATTAATCTTATCAGCATACTTTTCACATTAGAATGTGAAAAAGGGATCTTGTTACAGGTAGTCCTCAACTTACTGAGCCCGGAATTATGACTGTGGTCATAAATTGATGCATCATGTGACCAGATTTGACATTACAACTTTTTTTTCTGACTGTCACCATGGTCTTTAATGAATTCTGTGCTTTTTTTTGTAACTCAATTTTGCTTTTTAAGTTTGTACATTTACATTGTTTTCACAGGTGAGGGCGTGAAGCCAAAAGAGTATATAATCGCTTTACAGCATCCTGTGACCACAGACATTAAACATTCTGTAAAGATGTTTGAACTGACTTTGGATGCCCTCATCTCTTTTAACAAGAGGACTTTGATTTTATTCCCAAATATTGATGCAGGTGAGTGATATGACTGTTATGAATATGTTAATGTACTGTATTAGAAATGTAAATATATGCATAAAATTTAAGTGATAGTGCTATGATTATTATCCTTTCATTTCTTTGACAGAAATACAGGTATCCTTGATTAACAAGTGTAATTGGGAGTGGAAATTCCACCACTAAACACTTTACCTACCAAGGTAAAGTGCAATGTCACATGATTGTGGAGCTTAGCAACAGCAGTTCTGGGACTTGTAGTTGATGTTATTAAGCAAATCCTGCACTGTTGTTAAATCCTGGGAGCTTCCCCATTGACTTTGCTTGTGGAAGCCAGCAGTGAAGGTTGCAAATGGTAATCGTGTGATTGTGAGATGTTGCAACGTCATAATTGCGAGTTGGTGGCCAAGCCTCCAAATCGTGATCACATGGCCACAGGGATGCTGCAGTGGCTGGAGCTTTGAGGACTGTTCATAAGTACCGCTTATTCAGCACCATCGTAATGTAGCTGAACCAGTGATGATTAAGCGAGAACTGTCTCTGATGAATATTCAAGACCATTCAGCTTCTTTTCTGTCCTCTGAACCTTTAGAGAACTTCCCCAGATTCCTATCCTCTTATGTAAAATAAAGTGTCATGTTCCCCATCTAAAGTTTAATTCATCTTTAAGCCCACATTTGTTTTGCTCATAAAAGAAAGAGTCACATTCATCCTCTTTAACTTTTATTCAGATGTCGAATATTTTATTCGTAACTAATTCAGGAATAAGTCGGTATGGTAGATTCCTTTTCTGTATTTGTTGGGTTGCTTCATATTAACACTGGAGATTTTTAGAAACTGGAATGCATTTTTGAAAGCTAAAAATAGACTCATGAATTAAGTAGAAGCCTTTTTTTTTTTTCTGCCCAAGTAGTTAGACATTTCTTACACAAATATGCAGAATGTGGTACATAAAGTGTCAGCCCTGAAGCTGGCCTGAGCGGGGCCATTTTCTAAGCTTCAGTGTTGCCACACTTGAGCTGAAGGATAGGGAGGGGCAATAGAGATAGATGGGGTTTGTAGCCAAAACAAAATACTTTGTCTTGGGAACAAAGGACGTTCCCACAGGAGAGAGGAGGAGTGAAGTTACCAGGCAATGGGAAGACATGATTGTACCATGTGACTGATTGCTTGGGGAAGGGGGAAAACCTTTTACTTTTAATTAGGTAAAACCGCAGGAATATTCAGAGTGGGTTTTCACCAGCCTGTGTACCAATATGATATATCCAATAAACCAATTCTTTGAGGAATCTACCTGCCTCGGAGTTCTATTATGGGTGTATTACTTGGAACCCTGACATAAAGATTATCTTGAAAAGGAATTACAATAATTGATCAGCGCTAAGATTATCTTCTGATTTCATTAAGCAAAGTGGCTTGTAATAATTTCTGTATACCTTCCCAGTTCTCTTACGCTTATTCAAAATACATTAAAAGTCTTATCGTCTTTTTATCCTAGGGAGCAAAGAAATGGTTCGGGTAATGAGGAAGAAAGGGATTGAGCATCACCCAAATTTCCGTGCGGTAAAAAATGTTCCCTTTGATCAGTTCATCCAGCTATTGGCTCATGCAGGTTGCATGATTGGAAACAGCAGCTGTGGTGTACGAGAAGTTGGGGCATTTGGAACCCCTGTCATCAATCTTGGAACCCGTCAGATAGGGAGAGAAACAGGTATTTAAAACAGCAATGATGGTATAGCATTAGGTTTCTTTGTTTTAATTGAAAACTTTCTGTAGCCATGTCAAATTCTTTAGTGAGACTAAACAAAAACATGTATTTTTCATGCTAGAGATAAGATTCTTGTGGTCATGCTCTTAACTAGAACCTGAAATCTGAAGGGTGGAGAGAACTATCTGACAAACTGAAAGTTACTGTTTATGTAGAATTGAAACACTGTAGATAGTCCTCAACGTGCGACCATAGTTGAAACCAGAATCTCCATTGCTAACCATGACAGTTGTTCAGTGAATTGTGGCTGATTTTACAATCTTTTTTTTTGCCATAGTTCTTAAGCAAATCACTGTAGCTATTAAGAGAATCACATGGTTAAGCAAATCTGGATTCCCCCTTTGACATTGCTTTTCAGAAGCTACTGGGAAGGTGGCAAATGATGATCGTATGATTCCCCCAGGACAGTGCAATCGTTATAAATACATGCCGACTAACAAGCTCCAAAATTTTGATCACGTGACTATGGGGATGCTGCAGTGATTCAAAGTATGAGGACTGATTGCAAGTCCCTTTTTTCAGTGTCGCTGTAACCTTGAATGGTCTCTTAAGTGAATGGTTGTAAGTCCATGACTATTCGTAGTTCACATTTCCTAGGCAGTGTGGAAAAGAGGCTTTCTTCCTGAATATGACAAAACAAAGTTCTCAGCTGCGAGCCAAAATGTTGTTGATGTCCAAGCTAATTTCCACATTGCACTAAATCTGTCTCTTAGAACTCGGCATTTCCATGTTTGTCAAGTAAATATATGCTGGTGCAGATGTTCCTGGTTTTATGATGGAGGGCTTATGGTTATGTCCTGCAACTTTAGCAGCAGAGAGTAGCATAGAAGCTCCAATTGTCAGGTGGCTAGAGAAAGATGGTTGATTGGATAGTACACAAGGCCTAAGTGAAGACTTCCAGTAGAATTTAGTTCCTGAATTCAGTTGTCATTCTCCCCTCTTCCCAAACTATTAAAGCTGCAAGGGAAATGGAGAGGGAGAATTTGAAACTTGGAAGGGAGCACATCTTGCTCAATTTATTGATGGAAATTGAGGGGCAGGGTTGGGCAGTCATTACCACTGTATCTCTATGGAAGCAAAACATTTTCTGACTTGAACAGGGGGCTGATTAAAATTGTAATTTTAATCAAGAAGACAAGCCTAGAAAAGCGAGGTAAAATTAGAGGAAATGTATTTTCTGGGTTTATTTTTCTCTTCCTGTGAAACAGGAAGCCTACTTATTTGTATGATTTCTTTAACAGAGTGCACTTCTTTGGGTAATTGCTCGATGCAGTTAAGAGACCAAATAAACAGGCTTATATTTTAATTTCTGTTAAGATTTGTGGATTATATAATGAAATGCATTATTTGTCCATCAACCATTTATCCATCTGTGCTTTTCATGAGTACACCCTTTTATTAATTCAGCTCTGCAAATGATATTTTAAAATATGCATCTTGTCAACATATATGAAAACCAGAAACCGGATGTAATTTGTTTTATTATTTTTTTCAACCAAGAAATCAAGGCAACTAACAATAATTAAAATACAGAAAAAGAAATGGATGTTTAGGTCATTTAATTGTTTTAATTATTTATTTTTATTTATTTATTTGATTTTATATTGCCGCCTATTTGCCCATGGCGACGCGAGGTGGCTTACACAATGTAAAATCCTATTTAAAACAAAAAATAAAAATAAAAACAATAAGAACTAACAAAAAGAATCAAATAAATTAGTAAAGTACAATAGAACAAAATTTGGGAAAACAAAAAACAAAACAAACAAAACAAAAACCAACTCCCAACCCCCCACCCCAACGACAGCGGATCACACTAGCCATCTGATGGGTTCCATCCCTCTCTGGGTTCTCCAGGCCCGCTGCCAAAACCAGGTCTTCAGTGCCTTTCAGAATAGTATTAATGAGGGGGCCATTCTAATCTCTGGGGGGATGATGTTCCAGAGAGACAGCGCCACCACTGAGAAGGCCCTTCTTCTAGGTCCCACCAGGTGTATCTCCCTCAGGGGTGGGACCCGCAGCATTCCCTGCCTCCTCGCTCTAATGGGTCGGGTAGATGTCACTGGCAAGAGATGTTTCCTCAGATAACCTGGACCCAAGCCATGAAGGACTTTAAAGGTGACAACCAGCACCTTGAATTGCACCCGGAAGCAAATTGGCAACCAATGCAGCTCCTGCAGGAGAGGTGATACATGTGTATACCGGGGTCTTCATAAAACAATGCAGGCCGCTGCATTTTGCACCAACTGGAGCTTCCGGATGCTCTTCAAGGGCAGCCCCATGTAGAGCACGTTGCAATAATCAAGATGGGAAGTGACCAGGGCATGAGTGACTGTGAGTAGGGACCGCTGATCCAGGAAAGGGCGTAACTGGTGCACAACCCACAGTTGCGCAAAGGCCCTCCTGGCCATGACCGCCACCTGCTCTACGAACAGGAGTCGTGAGTCCAGGAAAACCCCTAGATTATACACAGGGTCTGTTTGGGGTAGTGCCACCCCATCAAAGACTAAAGGTGGTAAATCTCCCTGAACCAACGAACCCCAGACCCAGAGCCACTCGGTCTTGCAAGGGTTTAGTTTCAACCCGTTGCTCCCCATCCAGCCCCTAACAACCTCCAGGCACTGCGAGAGGGAGGACACAGCAACACTTAACTCACCACAGGCCGAGACATACAGCTGAGTATCATCAGCACTATGTTAATTATAATTATAGCATTATTATTAATTATGCTATTTGCTACAATGAAAGAGTAATGAAGTCAGATTATTAAACTATTTTTTTGTCCAGCATTTAGTTCTTTTGTATTAAGCAAGTATGTTTCATTTTAAATTCAGTTTCTTCTAATATGATATTTAATATTCTGGGGGTATTTGGTTTGTTTTTTTTTTTTTTTTTTTTAAGGAGAGAATGTCCTTCACGTGCGAGATGCTGATTCCCAAGACAAGATACTTCAAGCTTTGCACATCCAGTTTGGGAAACAATACCCTTGGTGAGTATAAGAAAAATTAAGGTACCAAGAGAAACTATCACTATGTGTTGCAAATTTTTCAAAGCATCAGCTTATTACAAATAAGCTAATACATGGCATTGGGAAAGCAGTTGTGTGATAAACTAAATAGTATCTTTGTATTTAAAAATGCTGTCCTACAGAGTTAATGATAGTTTGCATAATTCATTTCGCTGATGTATATCTGTTTGCTTCAGATTTACTACTACCATACATTAAAAAAATATGCTTGCCTGTTTTTTACCTTGAAAGATAAAGGGTGTACAGAAGATTGTGTCCATAGATACTGCCCTTGCCAAATCCCAGGACTCCCTGCCCAGCTAGATGTTTTTTTCATCAAAATAGTTAAGCTGGCATCCTACAGAACACTAGTTTCTAGCACCCTCTTGATGTTTGAGAAAACTCTTATAACCCAGATGGGTTCCAGGAGCTACCTTAGAGAATAAAAATGATGTATGGCTGCGTTTTGTATGGAAATGAATCTGCCTGTCCAGGTAATAACAAACATTGTTCAGGAAAAGAAGCAAAAAGTATTTGGTAAATCTGGGCTTTGTAACTGGTTATATCTGCCACTGCAGCATTTTATGAAAGGGCAATTTTTCCCCAGTAGTCATTTTACAGATTGCCAATCTTTTTTGCTGACTTTGTATTTATGGTGGTATATTTATTTTCATGAACACCCTTAAGGTAGCTTTATGGTGTATTAATTCTTGATTAGTGAATGGGTATGATCTGGCATTGACAAGCTTACAGTTTCTGTACAGTCAGATACTAATTATTATTTATTTGTAATAAAAATAAAGTTTAGTGTAAAGTAATTAGCATAACAAATTAAAAAGGTTATAATAGAAAAGTTAGAACTTTGTGTTACATAACAATATATATGTCCTATAGTTCAGAACCTTTCTGAACTTCTTTGATTTAATTTTTGTTGGTAATAGACAGTCCCAGGAATTTGTGACTGCTATCTGACAATAGGATTGATCAAGTGTCTGTGATTTTAGAATTATTGACCTAGTTTATGTCATGCACTTGGCATCCTACGGTAGATAGCTTTTTCTACTTAGGCTCACAATTATAAGTAGTCCTCACTTAATGCCAGCAATTGGTACCAGCAATTGGTCATTAAATGAAATAGTCCCAAGTGAAAAAGTCACATGATCACAACTGTGCTTACAAATTTCTTTCCAATTTCCTTTGCTTCTTGAAACTTCCTTCAGATGAACTGGGGTTCTTTCTCTTTGAGGACACCTTAGCGTAGGAAGAATAAGCAAGTTAAAATAAGAGCAGGTTAACATATGTTGCCATTAATCTGTGCATCGATGCTTAATTTAGAATTTGCAGGATGGCTACCAAAGCAGAAGGAAAAAAACAAATGTATTATTATTATTATCAGATATAAACCAAGCTGATTAGCTGGCATAAAAAGTGCACAGATTATTAATGCTACCATGGTTCTGTTAATATTAAAATTAAAAAGTAAGATGGCAATTCTCTGAATATTTACTTTGAAATCGATTCTATTAAACATAGTAAAAGCCTTCAGGCACTTGCAGAAGGAGAGGAGGATGCATCTCTTCCTCTCCAATGAAAATAAATGCAAACATTAATTTCTGTCTTACTAATTATCCCAGCACCATGCTAAGCATTCCTAGCTTAATGTTGTAAATATATTGAAGAACCATTTTTAAATGACTTTTTCAAAATTGATCCCTCCTGGCATCTCTCTTTGTGTACTCACAGTCTGAATTTATAAGTTTGGCTTGTAGAATACTTTCCTTCTGTTTTGAAATATTATAATTTCTTTCATTTGATATTACAGTTCAAAAATATATGGCGATGGAAATGCTGTTCCAAGAATTCTGAAGTTCCTTAAATCTATTGACCTTGAGGAACCCCTTCAAAAGAAATTCTGCTTCCCTACTGTGAAAGAAAGCATTTCCCAAGATATTGATCATATCTTAGAAACCCAGAGTGCACTGGCAGTGGATCTGGGTGGAACAAATCTCCGAGTAGCAATTGTCAGCATGAAGGTAATTATAAATCAGAATGGTTTATATCCACCGGGGGGGGGGGGTGTCGTGCTGAGAATAACACACTTATAATTTTAAATAGTATAATAATTATAAAAAATTTTAAATGATCCCTGTATGCTGTCTTACTAAAATGTGGCAGCTTCTTCTAAGAAGGTAATAAATTAGATATTCAAAGGGAAAAAAAACCTCTGATATCAGAAGAAAACATGGAGGAAGAAAAGAGAAAATAATACTGATCGGTATCAATTCTCTATAAAATAAAACATTTAAATATATATATAAAACATGCTTTGGTGTTCTGTATGCAAAGTGATTAAAGCTCATTCATTATCTTACAACCTAACCTACCCCTGTTGCTGTGGAGTTAAATTGAGACTAGACCCCATGTTGTGAAGTCCTGGATAACAGGTGGAATATAAATGCAACTAAATAATTCCAATTTTCAAACAATCCATTATATTAAAGTGCAATCTAAACATTAGATGAATTGGCTTAAGTGAAACAATGATTTAAAACCAAATGAGGATCTATCATATGTAGATACATCCTGATTCAGGAAACACAGGGTGAGCTATGTAAAGTAAAAAGAATTTAAAAAAAAAGTTGCTAAAAATGAATTCTGTTCTGCACTGCTACTCACAATGTGGTCTTGGACTCCCATGTCATAACAAACCTGCCTTAGGATTGCATAAGCATTGTAAAAAAAAAGCATTGTAAAAATTGCAGTTGGTGGGCATTGTTTAGCGGAGCCGTTTCTCCTTTCACTGTATAATGGAGCTCTTTTATAATAGCACCTTCTATAAAGTTTAGGCCTCCTAAGAACAGGATGTTTGTCCCCTTAAAACTCTTGCTTGGTTTGTTTTTAACTCATAGGATTAATTTAACTGAATTAGTTTTTAAAAGACATCTTAAACCAGGATTGTCTTACACATTGTGCTTTTCCTGTTGCAAAAGGCATTAACTCCACCATTTTCATCTCCTTTGCAGGCCAGCAAATAAGCTGAGAGTGAGGTTGGGCATGTGGTTTGTCTGGCCCGGAAAGTGCAGACACACATACAAAGACTTCTCTTTTAATACAGTTAGTCCTCAACTTACGACTACAATTGACCCCAAAATCTTCATTGAGTAAGATAGTTGTTAAGTGAGTTCTCCCCATTTTACCACAATTATTAAATAAATCACTGAGGTTGTTAAGTGAATCATACAGCCTTAAGCGAATCTGACTTCCTCCATTGACTTTGCTTGTTGGAAACCACTGGGAAGATTACAAATGGTGGGCCCCAGGTCATTGCAGTCTTCATCATAAATACATGCTAGTTGCCAAATGCTTGAATTGTGATCATATGACCATAGAGATGCTATAATGGTTGTAAGTGTGAAAAACAGCGATAAGTCACTTTTTCCAGTGCCGCTGTAACTTCAAATGGTCACCATACAGATGATCGTAAGTTGAGGACTACCGGTATACAGCACTTTTTTGCTTATTGTATTGAATACATGTCTCATCTCCAATTTTTATTCTGACTGGTCAGTAGAATTGACAATGGCTTGATGGCACATAGTCTATCACTCTGTGCCGCATTTTATAACCTGTGGGAACAGCACTTTATGACAGAAGAAAGTAAAAAAATAAGAGTTTGATGGGCTTTTCTTTTCTCTTAGGGTGAAATTGTTAAGAAATACATACAACTGAACCCTAAAACTTATGAGGATAGAATAGAATTGATCCTTAAGATGTGTATAGAAGCTGCCTCAGAAGCAGTAGACCTGAATTGCAGAATTCTGGGCGTAGGTAAGTTTAATAAGCATCATATTTTTTTGTTTTATGCAATGAAGGCAAGAAGTTGTTGTGCATTTCAAATATAATAAAAGGAAGTGTTTGCTATGTGCTGAAATTTACAAACAGGTATCTTGGTGTTGATGGACTGCAAAATGGATTAATATATTAAAATTGGTATACAGTTCTCAGAGTGCCAGTTTGGTACAGTTGTTAAGGCACCAGGCTAGAAACTGGGAGAGTGAGAGTTTTAGCCCTGCTTTAGGCATAAAGCCAGCTGGATGACTTTATTTCAGTCACTCTGTCTTAGTTCTAGGAAGGAGGCATTGGCAAAATACTTCTGAAAAACCTTCCCAGGAAAACTGCAGGGACTTCTCCAGGCAGTCTCCAGGAGCCAAAACCTGACCCAGAGGCACTAAATAAATAAATAAAATTCTCAAGTCCCATGCCTTATATATATCATAATAAGCTGTACTTCTGCAGACAATTATAAATTGTACATATAGTCTTCAATTATACTTTCCCCCTCAAAATTATAATAGGCAGAAAAGGCACTGATCAAGAGTTAGATTGAAATAAGTAGGACAGCTCCTGTTAATTTCTACATTTTTGAAGATTTTGTCCTGTTTCATTTTTTTTTATCTTGTAATTTTTTTGTGTGTGTTACTATATATGGTTAAGGTACAATCAACAATATATGGGAATTCAGACAATGTGTCTCTGCATCTTATTAGATAATACAAATTTAAACAGAAAATTGTGGCATGGGTTACCATATGGTAACAGTTCTTTACTTATTTGGGGGTTTATTGAAGAATTCTTCTTACAGTTAAAAGTAATGTAAAACAGAACTGCTAGATTTAGTTGTTTCGTTGAGGAAGGAAGTTGTTCAGTTTTGTTTCGGAATGGGAAGCCAACACTTAACAAAGCTTTATTTTGGATTCTTTTTTAAAAATGCTAGAATTAATAGAGTTCTGTTCTTCATAGAACTTGATATACGCTGTGTGTCTCAGGCATATCTACAGGTGGAAGAGTAGATCCCCAAGAAGGTGTTGTTCTTCACTCCACAAAACTTATTCAGGAGTGGAATGCGATTGACTTGCGGACACCAATATCAGACGCCCTGCATTTGCCAGTCTGGGTGGATAATGATGGCAATTGTGCGGCTTTAGCAGAAAGAAAATTTGGACATGGGAAAGGAGTGGAAGACTTTATAACCGTTATCACTGGCACAGGTATCGATTTCCTCAAAGTTCCTAAAGCAGTTTTCAGTCTTACTTGGAATCAAGTAATAATTTTGTCTTGTATTCAGATGTTGCATTTATTGTAATAGATCATGTGCAAATGGCTGTAATCTCTATCCAGATGTTGGGTACATGATTAAATTCCCTTAAACTACAGGAAATGTCAGATTTGGGCAGGGAATTGAGATTACTGCAAATAATAGGAAACTACTCACATGGTTCCTCTTATTTTATTAGATTTAAACTGACGCAAACTACGGTCATTGACCACCTGATCTGCTAAATCCTTGGCTTTGGAATAGCCCCTCCGCTGCACCTTGTGTCAGTCAGAGGATGGTTTCTCATGACACATTCCCAATTCCAGAGTGTAAATTAGAAAAAAATGGAGTTCCTCTTTCTCATTATATAGCATACAAAGATTAAAAGGTTAACAATGTATATAATAATTATATTTCCAGGAGAATTAATCCATTATTAAGGAAATTTAAGCATTTGAAATGTAAAACTGGGTGGTGTTTTCCAGTTACATTGTTTTTACAGTAGCAACACTTTACAACACTGTTCAAATCCATCTTTCATCTCTCCCATAGTACTAGCTAATGTTGACACTTCTGTCAGTATAATACATGCATAAATGCGACATTCAAAGACAAAAACCATGAAACAGGTGAACAGAAACTCTTACATATAAATGTTTTGCAGGAGGCATTAATGTTAACACTGGAGACAAAATTTTAAAAAGTAAAGTTGAACAATTACTGTCTTTAAACAAAATATTAAAGAGTATGAAGAGGTGGGGGAAAGGAAAAACTGGATAAATGGAGCATTGGATAAAGAAACCAACTGAAGAATATCAAAGGAATGGACCAAGAAAAGATGGGAGCAAGGGTATAAATTGAAAAATAAATTGGCTGGACCGAGCACCACCAAGCAATGAATCACTCAAATAAAGTCTGGCCAGTCAAGTGTGATTTTATATTTGCCTATGATAAAGGAATCTTTTGGAGTACTATATATTTTCTGATCTCCAGAATTCAGCGACAATGTCCTGATGTTTTTCCTTTCAGGTATCGGTGGTGGAATCATTCATCAAAATGAATTAATTCACGGTAGTTCCTTCTGTGCTGCTGAGCTTGGGCACATTGTGGTAGCAATGGATGGACCACAGTGCCTGTGTGGGAACCATGGCTGCATAGAAGCGTATGCTTCTGGAACAGCCTTGCAGAGAGAAGCTAAGAAATTACATGATGGTAAGTAAGGTTCCATCCTATTATTTATGCCCATGTTTACTAGTAGGGTGTGCATAAGTGTAGGCTACTTTAAAAAAAATCATATTCAATATATTTGGCACTTAATAGCTGCCATTTATTAATTTAGGTAGCAAAATGCATACTTCTACTTGTATTAACTTTATTTCCCAAAGCCAAATTAATTAATAGAAGCTTAGCTGAAAAGTAAATCTACTAGCATGCCAGTATCCACACTGACTACATTAGGTACCTTGATCAACATATACAGGTAGTCCTTGAGTTACAGTCATTCATTTAGCACGAAGTTAACAAAGTGACTGTGTTTCACATGTACGACCATTGTGGCATTCCCATGGTCACATGAACCAAATTCAGACAATTGGCAACTGACTCATATTTATGATAGTTGTAGGGTCCTGAGGTCATGGGTTCACCTTTTGCAATCTTCTGACAAGTCAATGGGAAAGCCACATTCACTTAACAACCATGTTACTAACTTAATAAGTTCAGCAATTCACTTAACAGTTATGGCAAGAAAGCTCGTAAAATGGAGCAAAACTTATTGAACAAATGTCTTGCTTAGCAACATAAATTTTGAGCACAATTGTGGTCATACGTTGAGGACTACCTGTATATAACTCTGATCTGAAAAGCCTTCTTTATTGCAATTTATCCATCACATGCTAATGAATACTCACTTATATACTGTATATTAGTTGCCTTGCAATCTGGGCTGCTCTTCTATAATTCAAACTAATCTGATTTCAAACATAGGTGAGTGAGTCTGCTTTAATCCTTAACAAAAGAAAAATTTAAGCATAAGCTTAAAGAGTTTATGGAGATTCTCAGTCATCCAAGTCATGGTTGTCCCAAAGGTGCTTTTTCAAGAGGCAGCTGGACTTTCTGATTTGTTTTTTTTTCTTGAAACATCCTCATAAGCTTAAGAATGTAAAGAATCTGAAATAAAGAGCAAAATCATAAATAAGATTTTGCTCTTAGAATGTTATAATTGGAATAAGAGTCCAGATAAATTGGAATACCAAAACCCTTACACTAGGATTTTAAATTTAATTATAAACTACAAATATCTTGCAGGAAATAGATCTCTTGGTTTATATAAGACAAATATAATAGATGAACAATTTCATGATTTCAAAAACTGGACACTAGAGGGGACTAAAGATTTTAGATAAAGATATAAAGGCCAATAGATGGTGCAAAACATTTTGTCAATAAAAATCCTGAAGGAGACTTTGGAAGGATGGAATTAGATAATAGTAGCCACAGTATCAACAAAGTTAGTAATGATGTCTGCTTCTATGGACAGACTGAAGAAATGTCAGATGTAGAACAAACTTTATCTGGCAAGATGGAGATGGTATCAAAAGTGGATTTACAACTGACAGATTAAAAAAAAAATCTTTTACCGGATCTACAACAGAAATTGTCTCAGATTTTAAAATTTACCAGAGAAATGCAAACTACAGACCAAGAGAGTGTTTTGGATTTAGGATTTTATTGGAGAAGGATTTTAAGAGGCTTCTTAAAGCCTTGAAGAACTCTTGGTGATGGGACAAAGAAAAAAAATGAAGAGAAATCAAATCCCATGGCAGTATTTGAATGAACTAAAGATTAAAGTAAAAGGAAGTAATATAAAGTTGGCTTATTTTATCAAAGTTAGAACAAAATATGTTCTTACTTCTAGCTATCTTTCATGTACTTTCTGCTGATACCAGGCTTGAAAAGATGATGTTTTATGAATTTTTCATAGATAATAGATAGGGACTGGGATAAAGAAATAAATTTAACTTCAGAGGGAGTAGAGTCACTAAATATGTTTATAGTTGCTGAAATGAAGGTGAATTCATTATATATTTTTCTTTATTATATTCTTACTTTTCTTGTTTTTGCACTGTTTACTCCTTTCTATTCATTCTTTAAGTTTAATTTATATTACATTTTACTATTATAATAAAAATAATAAAATGTATTATTATATGTGGATATGAGTACGATATGTGCATTTATAGGCAATTGCATGAATTAAAAGTTACATTTGTAAATGTAAAAAAGAGAAAAGAAAGTGGATTTCCTTGGCAATTTAAGAACTTTTTAAGGACTTAATGGAGATAAAATCCAGCATCAGGAAAGTAAGGGTTAAATCTGCATTAGCATTGCTTGGTCAGTTTGCTGGTTTAAAAAAAACCCCAAACAGATTAGGTCTATTCCACTGTTTCCTGATACATACCTGTATTTATGTGGAATCATTTTACATCTGTAGGAAGCCAATGGGATTTTATGCCAGAAGAAAGAGATAAAACTTCATTTATGGAAAAAGCTGCACTAAAATTAATTAATATGACATAGGTAGATTAGATTCTTGTAATTTTAAAAAAATGTTTGGTAAAATGTAATAATCAGCATTCTCTATTTTGCCTCTTAATTACTAATTCTGCGTTTTCCCCTTTTTTCCCCCTACAGATGATTCATTATTGATTGGAGATATGTCTATGAAAAAAGAAGAGATAATAACTGCTGCACACCTTATTCAGGCAGCTAAACTAGGAAACACAAAAGCTGACAATATTGTTAGAACAGGTAAAACATACAAACCTAAGACTGAAATCTTCATTAGAATGTTGGCTAGTGGTAAATATTGCTACTGTGGCCTCATCCTTGTTTGCTTCTGTTATAAAACAATACCAAAAATAGGCCTTCTCCTTCTCCTGATAATCATTTTAACTTTCCTTTGGAAATGCAAAGAGAGAGGAAAAAATAGACCAGGCAAGATAAGGAGGGATAGATGTGAAAAAAATATAGTTAGAAGTGCAGAGAATCACCTTAAATGCAATTGTGCAAAGCTTTGATAGGTTATTTAATGTGCTAGTGGTTCAGAATCACCCTGTTAAAGTTGCTCTTTGTAGCCCTGCTTGCACTTCTACATTTGAAACTAAATTGACTGTTTTGCTTCACTTGTTTCTAAAGTTTGTTCTAGCAGTTGCAATTGTTTAACAGATGAACAAAACTTTTTCTAGTAGTTTGGGATGACAGTTGAGGCTTCGGGGTAACACCAGGGGTGGGATTCTACCTGGTCGGTCCAGTTCTATAGAACCGGTTGTTATGATTCTACCCAGTTCAGAGAACTGGCAAATCACACCACTGCCTGGCCCTGCCCCTCCCACTCACTCCTTACTTGGTATGTGCGCCATCAAACTTGCCTGCGTTAGCCTAAGTTGCTATTTTTCCTTTTATTTTCTGACCATCAGCTGTTCCAACTATCAGCTCTGCTGGGAGATTTAGTTTAGCTAGAAAGCAGGAAATCATTGGATTCCTTGCTTTCTAGCTAATCTAAAAGCAGAGCTGAATTTTCCTTGGGACTGAAGCTTCTATTTTTCAGTGCAGACTCATGTAATAAATTGCAGAATGGTAGATCTCTAAGTGAATCTGTGATTCTGTGAGCAACTCACTCTGCTTGCCTGCTTTGCCTGATTTTGGGTAAAAGTTGCTCTTTTTTATAAAAATTCAATATTTACATAAATATTTACAATATTTATATACAAGCCATGCCCACCCAGTCACATGAACACAGAGCCACGCCCAGTCAGCAAGCCATGCCCACCCAGTCACATGAACACCAAGTCACACCCACAAATTAGGCCATGCCCACAGAACCAGTTGTTAAGAAATTTGAATCCCACCCCTGGGTAACACCAAGTGCTTTATTGAAGGCAAAACATGTTGCTTCTTTGGTAGAACAAGATAACCACATTGCCTCTACAACTTAGAGCATCTCAACACCATAAAACCAAGCTGCCTGGCAAGTATTCAGCTAGTATTCTCTTGCTAATGGAAGAGGTCTATCAGTAGAATAGGAAAGGGAGCCTTTTTATGAATGGAGGGCAGTCTTAATTCCTGTTTCTTTGGAGGACAAGCCCTCATTTAAATTTTGTTGGCGCACACTTGCTATCATAGAATCAATCTAATCCTTGAAAACTTAAAAAGAGATTTTGCTGAAACCTGTTTATGTAACCTGAATGTAGTAGAAATCATGTTTGATATTTCTGTTTTTGATAGCTCCTGTGAAAATAGACTCAATCCAATTTTAAGAAAATTATATTTGCGCTTAAAGCAACAGTTGTATAATCTAATCCAAAGAATAAATAGAAAGTGTTTTTTTAAAAAAAGGTTAGAGCATTATTAATACTACTGAGAACCACTGATACAATGATTATTGGCATTGGGATAGTAATTGGGAGGCATATATTCTAGTCCTGCCTTAAACACAAAGCTGGCTGATAAATTCAGGCCAATCCCTCTCACAATCTTAGGAAGAGACTTGTGGCAGACCACATCTGAAAATGTTGCCAAAAAATTGGAGGGATTTCTTAGGAGGCAAAACTAACTGCACGACCCCAACCCGGCCCCACACCATTATGATTACTGTGGTCATTACTACTCCAACCTATACTTTTCCTTTTCTTCAGGCCTCTCTAAAAGATTCAGTCACACCCTCACGCATATATGTCTTATCTCTACTGTCCATATTTGATGGTTTAACAGACAATGGAAAACAGGGATTTAGATTGTACTGGCATATATCTAACTGTCATGAAACAAATTTTTATCAGTGAAATCATACTTTGAAACTCCCCAGTGGTTCTTGGGACTTTTTCCTCCATTTTTTCCCCTTTCATCTCAGCATACTGTATTTACTTTTTTAATTGTTGGTAGTTCTCAAAAAAATTGTCAATGAATTTGTAAAGATATAAAACATCTGTAATGTTTTGGAGTATATTATATTGCATGATACATTGTTTTTATCATGATTAGTTAAGCGGTTAGTGACTCAGAATGTAGTCACATAATGTAGATAATATGCTTTATTTTGGACAGTTGAATAAGAGGGGTGAAAGAGGCAGTTGCTAATTTATGGTTCTCTTACCATTTAAGAGTTGTGCACATTCTGTTCAATTAGAGAAGATAGTGAGAGAAAAAAATGTAGCCATATGCCAGCATGTTGGGATTACATTTCTAAGAATTCCTTGCCAGCATTGGCAAAAGCAAGATGGGTGCTTTAGTTCCAATATC